GAGGAGGAGCTAGCAGCCTGAGGCAGGGCTGGGGGTTGGTGCCCCCCGCAGGGAATTTGGTAATTGCCCCTAAAGATCTGGAGGTTGTATTTCTGGGAACTGCTTGACCTCTGGCTTGAGGAGCCCTGGGACGCAGCGGGCAGGAGTTCGGGGTGCAGAGAATTCCGGAGACAGTCCTTCTAGCTCTGGCTTCAGGGCCTGCGGGCTCCTGGGGAGGAGCGTCCAGGATGGTCCATTTGCTCCCCACACAGCTCTGAAAGGAGGTGTTACCCCCATTTTATAGATGGGAGACAGCCACTCAGGGTGGGCCCTTTGCACAGGGCAAGCGGCACAGCTGGATTCGAACCCGGACATTGCTGATCCAAAGCCTCCTAGGAGGCTGGGTGACCTGAACACACGTGTGTGGAGATGGGCTGGCCCGGAAGCCCCCGAGAAGCCCCTGTCTGCTCCCCACAGCTCAGCAGAGCCAGGACTGACCTGGGAGGCGGGGTAAGGGGGGCCAGGGCAAGGCCATTCTGAGAAGAGAGTGGGCCCTTCGCATCTGCCCAGGCTGCAGTGTGGGGGCTCCGCTCTCCTCTCCAAGTCCTGCCTTCCTCCCCCACGGAGGCCTCTCTGATTGCTGCAGTCCACACGAGGGGCCCCTGCCCCAATGCCCACAGTGCCGCCTATCTGCCCACCCAGCTCCTGGCAGTGTAACCTGGTCCTCCTGGGTCTATGAGACTGACAGCTCCTCCAGGGCAGGGTTCGCTGTGTCCCCGTTAGAGTGGGAGTTCCCGAAGGTGGGCGCTGCTTCTCTTTTCTCTGGCTCCCACAGAACGTCATTCTTGGGGGCTCCATCTATAGGGGTGGTCCCTGAAGGGGGGCCAAGGCAGTGGCTGGGGAAAGAGGGGTCCTTCACTCCAGGGGAGATTCCTGCCTGGAATTCCTGCCCCTGTCACCCATCCTGGCCCAGGGGGCTGCCAGGAAGTCGCCAGCACTGAGGCAAGATGGGAAGAGGGTGGGGGAGGGGTGGGGGGGCCCATAAGCCTGCCGCCCGCCAGGGAAACAGGAGCCAGTGGCTAAATGCAGACACACTGTCATGGTGCTGAGGGCCTGAGTCACTGCTCCTGGACGTCAGATCTCATTCCCCACCTCTGCCCACCGTCCCTCCCCCCGCCCCCCTTCCTGAGGCATCGCCCACATATATACTGCATCCACTGGCTTCAGTGGCCAGGAGGGACCCTGAAGGTCATCGGGGCCATCGCCCTGTCTCTGGGCCTGCCTCTCCCTTCAGATCACAGGGAGAGAAGGAGCTTCAGAGATGATCAAATGCCCTGAATCCCAAACCTGCCAGGGCATCCAATCACCTGAGGGAATTTTGACAAACCCAGAGCCTTAACCTGCACCCCAAGATTCTAATTTGGGGCCCTGGGAAGGGACCAGGAATCTGGTCCCATTGGCTCTCCACACAGCCAGCCCACAGGCCAGTGCTTGGAAACCACCCAGCACTCAGTAGGTTTATTGAACACCTACTATGTGCCAGGCACTGTTCCCGGCTCTGGGGGACTGGTGTGAATGAGGCAGAGGTAGGCCCTGCCCCACAGCTCCCAGGCTCCCCTTACCGGACAGAAGAGGAAAGCGAGGCTCTGAGTGGTGGAGGACCAGTTGTGGGTGGAGGAGCTGCTATGGCTTTAATTAAGCCTGTTCTCCCTCCACTGCTGCTGGGGCTCGACGAAGAAGGGGGAGAAGTGGAGGGGCTGGCATGTGGGGGTACAGAGCTTTGGGAGGGACTTGCCACAGCCACCACACCCCCCGCCGCCCTCTCCCCAGCTTCCTGGTGCTCGCAGGGCCGGGGGGTGAGGTCTGGACATGCTGGGCCTGCTGGCTGGCTGACCCTGGCTGTGTGATTGTAGCCAGCGGCTGCTGGAGGCCAGAGGTGGGTCTGGGATGTCGACGGGCAGCCAGTCGACAGGGTGGGGGGGCCAAGGTGAAGGTGGGCCCTAGTCCATGCAGAGCAGCAAGCCCCACCCCACCTCCCACACATGCTCCTATTTTGGATTGACTCGACCTGGCCTCTAGGGGCAGAGGGTGGCTCAGGCTCCCAGGATTTTAACGAGTCATTGAAGGGCCATCATGATTTTCGGGGGGCGGGGGTTACTTGGGGGTGGGAGGGCCGTGGTCCCAGATCTCTTGCCTAAATCTCTCAAAAGTGGCATCAGACAAAAATCCTCTGCTCTGTGCCCAGACCTTGCCCTGGTTGATTCAGTCACCGGAGTTTGAGGAGCTCCGGGTAGGGAAAAAGGCACACAGTCTAGGTCTGGGCTCAGCCTCTGCTGTGTGACTTCAGGTGAGTGACTGCACCTCTCTGATCCTCCATTTGTCATCTGCAAAACGGTGGTGCTGTCCCGGACTCACAGGGTGCTGGGAGGATGAACTGAGTTGCAGACTCAAGGGCCTGGCACGTAGGCAGGGTGTAACATGTGCTTATTTCCTCACCATGCCCCCCATGCCCTGGCTCCTACCCTCTGTTTGGGGTGCGACAAAGTCTGGGCATTTATCAGAAGCCTTGTGGTTTGAGAGGCCGTTTTCTGAGACTGGAGGGGCTGGACACCAGGATCAAGTCTAAGTTTCTCCCCAGGCCCCGGCCACAGGGATTCGCTACCCCTGCTCCAGCTGGGGGCTCCACCCAGCTCTGAGCGAGGTGGGCTGTCAGGGCAGGACCATGGGGTGCTGTGCAGGCTTTAGAGACAGGCAAACCTGGGGCGGGGGGGGGGGGGCGGCCCAACTCTGCCCTTGGCCCCTATGACCTTGAGACTCCATTTCTTTAAATGGGAAAAAAGCCGCCCCCCTGCTTGGGGATCAGGGGGCACTCACTGATTGGGGGGGGGAGGGAAGTTGGTGGGACACAAGCAAAGGGGGGCAGCGACGACAGGGCCCCTCACCTTTGCCCCAAGGCCTTTCCTCCTGGTCTGGCGGGGTCCCTTCCCCCTCTCCCTTTTTCTGCTCTTTCAAAACCCGGCCAAAACCAACTCTTAAAAATCCAGGG